GCCTCACAGCCTGGAGGAGGACAGGGCCTACTGGGGCTAAAGTGAGGCAGAATCCCCGACTGCTGGCAGCAAGTGGCTCCTGCTCGGCCCAGCAGCTGCCGGATTCTCTCTGGGCCTGCCTTCCCTGTTCCTGTTCCCCAGTGTCAGGCCATCTGTGCCTGTGGCCCCCTAGCATTGTGGCTCTGGGTTGGACGCTAGCACAGCTACAGCCACAGCCAGCCCTGGGAGGAGTGATGGGCAGGAACAGGACTTCACTTAAAAGACTCAGCTCTGCTGTGCTGAGTGTACTTCTGGAGTCAGAGTTTGTGGTGCTGCTACAACTCACATCCCAGGCCTGTCGACACCCGGTTTCCTCTGGGAGAGCTGTCTGGGTAGGCACAGCGCCTGGGAGCAAGGCTCAGCCCCCAGAAGTGAGGAGCCAGAGGCTGCCCTCCTCCACCCCTCTCCCCTCCACTCCTATCACACTCACCAGACTCCCTGCAGGTTGCATGGCCTCTGGGCATGATACCTCCCTGGCTCAAGGCTGAGGCCTGTAAGCTTCCTGGAACTTGCCGGGCTCTGGTGTTGGGGTCGCCACTGCCGAATTCTCCACGATGCATGTGCAGGCAAGGTGGCCCTGGCCTGGGTGTTGGAAGCTGAAAGAAAAATTTCCCAGAGCTGGGCCAGGGCGTGTGAGTGTGAACATGTATGTGCAGGGTCTGGGATAAGGTGGGCAGTAAGGAGGGGAATTCGGAGTCGATAAACTTATTAGCACTTTCTCCTTCAGTCAGCCCCAGGCTTCCAGGCAGGGCACATTCAGGGAAAACAGGGGGATGCTATGACTGTCTAGGCCCCTACCAGGCAGGTGTGGGGAATGGCTAGGAAACAAGAGTCAGGAGGGTGAAGAGTCTAGACACACAAGCTTTGCAGCCCAAAATTTACAGGGTTCATCTGTTCCATCCCAGCCCATCCCTGGGGAAGAGGCAGGTAACATGCAAAGTGTCAAGAACAATGCCTGGCATCTACTAAGTGCTCTCTTAATGTGTGCCCCTACTAAGATGATTCTGATTAGGCATCCCAATGAATGCGGACTCACAAGGACAGGCCCTGAGCAAAGGACAGAGTAAAGATGCCTGTGTTGGGGAGGGGAACTATGGGCAGAAAGCAAGAGGATGTCATACTCACTTGGGCCTTTGGGCCTGGATCTCTATTTGGATTATTATCATCTCTGGACACAGGATGGGAATCCTTTGCCTTCCTCGCCCCAGATTTCTTCCCAGTGCTGCCGAGCTTGGAGTGTTTGGGTCCCAAGGACAGCAACGAGTAGCTCTTGGACCTCCCGAGCAGGGGAACACCAGCGATTGGGGGGAAGGTGGCTGGTTCAAGGGAAACTGCCGACAGTCTCTGCCCCCATGGAGGAAATACTCTCCCCAGGGCCATGTTTGAGGTGGCCCCTAGGAACTTCTTCTCCTGGGCCACTTTCTTCCTAGGAAAGGCCCGGGTCAGGCTGCCCACAGCAGCAGCAGCAGCAGCTCCTGAGAAGCTGGGCCCGCTGCCTGCCTTCCCCGACACCACACTCTGCATTTTCTTCGAGGAAGAGCTGTCCAGCTCTCCAACGGCCTGCCTTTCCATGCCTGAAGTGAGTGCTCGGGAAGCAGAGGTCAAGAGAGAGCCTGGCGTGGGAAGGAAGTCCTCCCTGACAAGCAAACTGATGTCTGTGGTGTGCCCCGGACCTCGCGCTGCTGGTCTCCCGGTCTCCTCCTTTGGGGTTAATCCACCTCATCGGACGTCACTGATCTCACTTTGTTGACTCGGGGTCGAAGGCAGCTAACCGGCCTACCACGGAGGGCCGCTGGGACCCTGGCCGCCCGCTCGCTTACTTTAGCGCCTCTTCGGTCCCGCGGGCCGACTTTCCGGGCGGCCATGACGGTGGGGAGGCGGCAGGAGGCGGCCAGGGCGCCTCGACCACCTCAGACCCTGCCCCAGGTCGGCCACGGTGGACACTTGGGTGCGGCCCTCGAAAGCACGGGTGTCTGCGGACGCCCCGGATAGCCCAGTCATCATCGGCTGGCACGATGCCATCGATTTGTCAGCCAGGAGGACTCGTAGTCTTAGGATCGTCCCCCATCTCGTTCAGTCGGGTGCAGGGCGCGCTCCCGGCCCCAAGCACAGTCCTCCTCCTCTATCACTTGGCTCAGTCCTCGAAGCCCTCGGGGTCTGGGAGCCCGCCCTCGCCGCCTACGTCGGCGTCACCCATTGAGGCCTAGGCCGGGCCCGCGGGCCTCCAGGATAGCTGACGAAATCTGCCGCTTCCCCGCCCTCGAGCCGAAAGCGCTCCGAAACAGACACTCTATCAGAGGAACTCAGTCGCCGGTTAGATCTCTTCCGCGTTGGTGGGCAGCATGGTCGCCCTTGTCACGGCAGGGATGGACCCCCACACGCTCGCCAGGTGTTCAGCCGGGTCTAAGGAGTGCGGTTGCTCAGGCGCTGCACGGACGATGGATGACCTCAAACAACGCGTGGCTTCCGTGACCCTGGATGCCTCACCGCAGCCTGTGTGCATTTGGTCTGCTTTCCAGGCTCCCCAATCAGCCGCGCCATTGTTTGCGCGCTACTCAGGGCCCAAACCAATAGGCGAGGAGGCGTTGTTTCCCTGAAGTCTGTCGTGGTGTCTCCTTGGAGCCGGTTGTACAGCGGTCTGGCCTCGTGCGCACTTGTCCCACCTCTTCTCGCTGTCTTCTGCCAGCATCTGCTTCACCTAAGCCCACGTCTCTGGGCCTCAGTTTCCCTCTGTAAAGAGAGGCGAAGTATAACACACCAGCAGGCCTCTGAGGGTGAATGATGGCTGGGAGGCGCCATCGTAGGGAGGACTTGCAGGCTCTATTCAGCAACGCTTGCCCTGTAGCAAGGGGGCAAGGAGCCCACAAGTCTGTAATCAGAGGATTCTGCGGTTTCTTTTACAGTGTGAATTATATGAAAAAACACCCTTGGCTGTATTAGATGGGGCTAGCGCTGAATGTTATATCTTTGGGTATGTGACATTTAATAATCTTCCAATCCTTGAATGAGCACGCGGTATCTTTCCATTTACTCATGTCTTTCTGCATCAGTGTTTATGTTTTGTGTGCGAGCCTTCACCCCCCTTGATAAAAGTATCCTAAATATTTTTTTAACCATGCTTTTCGGTGAACGGAATACTTTTGTTAGGTATAGATCAATGTTTTGTATGGTTGCTTTCTTACTGCAACTTACGAATGTCTTTATAGTTGTCACAGCATTTGTGCAGTGTTTCAGGTTTTTCGCTATTGTAGGATCATGTCATCTTGGAAGCAAGGTCATTGAACTTACTTCTGTGATTTGGGTACCTTTCACTTCTTTATTTTTTTTTTTTTTTTGAGACGAGTCTAGCTTGTTGCCCAGGCTAGAGTGAGTGCATGTGTCAGCCTAGCTCACAGCAACCTCAAACTCCTGGGCTCAAGCAATCTTCTGCCTCAGCCTCCTGAGTGAGCTGGACTACAGGCAGTGCACCATGCCCGGTCTTGCTTCAGGGCTGGTTTCGACTCCAGACCTCGATCAATCGCCCGCCTGGCCCCAGAGTGCTAGGATTACAGGCTAGAGCCACCGCACCCGGCCATCACTTCTTTTTCTACATAGAAACTTTTCTCTACAATTAGATAGTCAAATGGGGTGGCTGTGTGCTCATGACACTTATTGTGTGAAATTTGGGCAGGCAGAGCTTTCCCACCTCCCCAGGCCCCGTCCTCACTGTGAGTATTCAAGGAAGCAGGGAATCCCCATGGTCAACGATCCCCCAAAAAGATGCTCACCATCACTCATCCGATGTGGTGCACATTATACATGACTATGTGCTGGCTCTCTTCTGAGTGCTGTAGATTAAATATTAACTCATCCTCATGACAGTGCTAGGTCAAAGTACCTACTATTACCACCTTCGTACAGCAAGGAGACAGGCACAGAGAGGTTCAGCGACTTGCTCAAGGTCATTGGTGTCATCGGCAGGAAGGAACCAGGCAGTCGGCTCCATAGTCCGTGCTTGTTAAAACTGCAAAACAGCCACTCCCGAATGCCTGGCAGACCTGCCGGTACATCTCTGGGAAACGCTGGTAGGTGTAGTGGACAGGACACATGCACACGGATGTCGGTGAAGGGAAAATTCGGGTACTTGCTCTAAATCCCATCAGTGAGGGGGGTGGACGGATGCACGTGGCATATGCATCCAGTAGGTTAAAACTCAGCAAGTCCAAAGAGCACACGAGGCTGTGTAACAAACTTCAAAACTCCATGACCGCATGCAGCAAGTTGGAGACAATGCATAAGATGCAGGCGATTCGTAAACGGAAAAACCCAAACCAATCTGTGTGTTCATTTGGGACTGCGTACAGGGTATACGAAAAAATACTTTTTTTCTGGTTTCGTTTTTAAGCTGGGAAAGGACAACGACAAAGGCCTCACAGTGGTGGTGGTGGCATGCCAATTTTCTGTCATATTGCCTCTGGAGCTACGGGTCCCCAGCTTCCCTGAGCTGAGCAGTCCCGATACGTGGGGAGGGGTCCCTTCCTTGTTCTCTGAGGCCCTGGAGTGTTAGAATTTCCTTGCTTGTCACCCAGCCCTACTGCAGCCGCTCTCATACCTCCTCCAGCTCATTCTTTCACACCTTCCTTCCTCGCTTCCGCTCATGTTCCCTGTCTTTCCCGGTACCTCTGCCTGTACACCCTCCTCTGACTGGTCTCCAGGCGGTGCCGTGGGTGTCTGAACCCTTGCCGGGAAGTTCGTCCCTGGTTTCTCTGGGTCCACACCTGAGAAGCCCACTGTGCTGGGGGTTACAGGGCAGGGTCGACTGGGTCTGCTAGAAATCGGCCATCGTCCACGTCTGGCAGGCCCTCCCCAGCGCCTGCCTGGGTCTGCGTGGACCTCACGCTCCCTGCAATGACTTTTAAAGACACGGAGCACTGTTTCAGCCATGTATATGTAACTATAACAATAGACATGGCAAAATCTCCCGTGCCCACCACCCATCTTAAGAAACATTATCGATCACCCCAGTTGAAGCCTCTGATGTACCTCTCCTCATTCTCGTTCCCTTGCTCCTTCCCTCTCCCATACAGAGAACCCTAAAACTTTTTCCCCCTTCTCTGCTCTTCATCCCTGCAATCCTGTCACTTCCTCTTCCCCTGAGTCTATAGATCTTCGGTGGTGGCACTAATTTCCATCAACTCTGAGACTTCCACCGGGATCTGACACGGTTTGCTTTATTCTAGACCTGAGGTGGGGGCCGGTTTTTGGGGTTCCACAAGGCCCTCCCCGCCACGCTGGCCAGTGCCCTAGCCTGGGAGTTGTTGCTCCAGTTGCCGAATATATCACTTACCAGCAGTGACGTGGGGACAGGAGAAAACCACCGTGAAGGTCCTGGGAGCCAGTCGACTCACTGTGAACCTGTGTCTACCCGCAACTCCCTTTCTTACCAGGGCCCCGTCGTGACACCTTGGACCACCAGGATCTGTGTCATCTCAGGCCCCGTTTCCAGTAGTCCCAGAAATCCCTGCTGTCGCCCTTTCCCCGGTGTAGCGTCCCCGGAGGACATGGCAGTCCTGTCTCTCTCTTTAGGGAAGGACCCTGGCAGAGTGACCGCATCGTCACCCCCTTGTTTCCCGGTCCTTGCTCCTCGGGATCATCCGCTCTTCAGTCAATGGGCTGGTCGAAGGTTGTCCAGGACCAGAACTCAGCAAGGTGGTGGCTCGTACCGGATGGCCACCTCCGCTCCTCCATTGTCGCCTATTTCTGGCTGCACTTGCACCTTGGGGGCCGTGTGTGGACAATCTTTCTGGCTTCCTGCGGGTCAAGCACTGGGGACTGCCCCGCCGCCTTTGCCGGCTGTTACTGCAGACGTAGTGTCCTGGCGTCAGTGGGGCAAGCTCCGTGCCCTGCCTTCCAGCGTGGCGGCCCGACCTCGGTGAATGCTGGCCATGAGCGCAGGCCTGGGACCGCGCTCGGCCCGGCCCCAGCGGCCTGCAGAGGAGGGCAAGCGCCGACCTCCTGAGTCGTGCTCCGGCCCCTCCCACCAGGACACCCCTGTGACTTTAGCGACTGCTGTGTCCCCTGGGTGCTACCGCGGAGCACGGCACTCAGGCCGGCTCGCTGGCCTGCCATTTTGCGTCCGCTCCAGGGTGGCTGCGTCTTTCAACCTACTTTTCTCCCTCTGCCATCTGCCAGCCCCAGGCGGGCATTTGCACTCTCTTCCTGTGGGCCACGACTTTCCCAAAGACGCTAAGGGTCGGCCTGGCGGTGGATTTCCTCCCTTCCTGGAGTCCCTGCCAGGGTGTTGAGTCCCATGACAGGAGCAGCCACCCGTCCATACGACTTGCGCATCCACCTGACATTCCAGCCCCTCATACCCCATGCCAGGGCAGGTCCCCTGGCTCCCGCCAGGACGGGCTAGGTCTTCCCCGCAGCGTCCTTGGCGTGTCATCTGTCCTCTCCCTGCGCAGCGAGGCTGTGGAGAGGAGATGGGCAGCCCCTGGGGCGGCGCCCCTGGCTCTGCGCGGCCAGCGCTCTGTGGCATGTGGCAGCGCAGGGCCCGCGCTGGCTCTCGCGAGGGGAGGACGGCTGCACGCTCCACCCAGCCGCCCCTCGCGTAGTGCAGGGGCCTCGGTTTCCCAAACAGGACCCGGCCTTCACCTAACAG